CCACTCTGATTCTAAAATCTAAACTCATGATTTTTTTTTATTAAAATTTTCATTTCTTGACATTCTTCTGCACCTCTGTGCTTTTAATACATCCTGAATCTGTTAAGTGACTCAGGGGAGAGATGGCAATATAGCCTCCCTTCTTATTTTTGTGAGGAATGCTGTGTACAGGATGTGCCCATCATAGCAGATCCCTCAGGGAATTCTGTCTCTCTGAAGGAGTTCACAGTAGTGAAGATTAGTGGTACCCTTTTGATTTTAGCCCAGCCAACGGTAAAATACGTTCATATCAAAGACACAGATGCAGAAATTTTTGTGGCCTATGTGTCCACATTAGATAAGTCACTTGACTGCCAACTAGTTCAAAATAGAGGATTCCCTTAAAACATTAAGTTCTTTTTAAGAAAGGACTTCATTGCATAGGAAACAGAAGTTAGAAAATGAAACCATTCTGGAAAGCAGAACCCTCGTCTTAAATCAATGAAGGATGTCTTTGTAAAAAATGCCATCCAATTTTTTTTTTCATAATGGGAAACATCAACACAGCAAAACAGGATGCAATTTTTCTAAATAAATAAATCAATGATGTGTCAAAAATTAACAGATGAGTTAATATACTTGGTGCTATCAAAACCAGATGGTGCTTCCTAATATTCATCCTGCTCAGTCAATCCCTGAATATTTTCTGGACCATCGGTATATAAAATAGGATGCTGCTATTTGTGATGGCAAACAAAAGCAATCATGCCTGCCAAGCACATACTATAACAGGCAGCATTTCAGCTCTGCTAGACAGAAAGTAATTAGAATGCTTTTAATGTCCAAAAGAATGATGCTGATAGGCCGCCACAGATGTGTAGATTTATGAATATTTATATGGTGGTTTATGGCTGACACTTTTATCAGTTGAAGAAGATAAAATATCTGCCTGACTCAAAAGCTTGACAGTCAGGTTAATAAAATCTCATTAAAGAGAATGACCTATGCAATTATATAGGATTTATTGTAATTCATTTTTGATTGTACTCTGCTTAAAGATGCAATTTCCCATTTCCTGATGCCAAATTTAGGCTGCATATCAAGATCTACATGGGTTTTAACTCTAAGCCTCCCATAGAGGAAAAATATGCGTTTAAAATCATGGTGTATAACCCCTTTTAAGAAAAATTATACTTTTCATGAGATTTTATAAAAATGTTGAAAAAAATCTATTTTTAATCACTTACTTCTTCTCTCAATGGCTTATAGCACTTAATGGCAAATAAGATTCACTTCAACCCTTTCATCTTTTCAGTACATTTACCCTAGACAGTCAGTTATCCTGGACTCACTGCACCACACTGACATTTAACTGTTTTCAGTTTACTAGGTGGCGTGAAACACTACTATCACACTACCATGGGGGTGCAGTAGCCAACACTGAACCCTGCCCCACTCCACATATTTAATGACCCTGGTGAGCAACACAAGCTCATTGGCTTCAAGGTGGCACCATTAGTTCCTCAAAGAACCAATCAGCTCTTCAGGTGGCTGTCCCTCCAACGGCCACTCATCACTATGCCTGTTGAGAAATGGTTTTGTCCATCAATGATTAATGTGACCATAATTTTATGGCTTTTTACCAGAATGTTTTGATAAAAAGAAGAAATTTCTCATCCAATTTCCATGTTCCCAACAAGCGCTAGGCATCCAGGCCCACACTCCAAGCTATCAACCATGCCCCTGAGACCTCACTAAGAAACAAAACCAATAATTAACAACCCCCACCCCCAACAAAACCAGCCTTGAGATAACCTGTAATAAGGGAAAGTTTGGGAGATATCAAAAAAGCCCCTTCACACTTTGACATTCAGTGACACTGATTTCTAACTTGGGACAGAGACAAACTAAAACAGGACAAGAAAAGAAACACTGAGCAAGGTGAGAAGGGAGAAAAACAACAACCAAAATACTCTATAAAGACAGTAAAGAAACTTCCAGAGCAAGAGGGACCATGGAAAGGATGGCAAGCAACTAAGGTTGAAAGAAATAATACAGGGAACAGGGCTGGTCAAAGCAAGTTTAAACTACAGCTTAAAATGGAGATGAGGGGGTAAATTTATAGTATGTGTAAGGAAGTAAAGGTGTCAAGACAGCAACAGGCTGGAAGAGTATGTCATCAAAGATGAGGCAGATAAGGGGGAAAGTTCCCAAGGATGTGGTGGAACCAAGGTTATAAAGGAGTATGCAACTACAGAAAACTCGAAAAGGATCCAAACTGCTGAAAAACGACATGAAAAAGAAAACACTGTGCTGGGGAATCAAATGGGCATGATCAAATAGTAGTATAGAGGCTAGGGCAGGAGAAGCCCAAGTTCAAGGCTAGCCTAGTCTCCATAATGAGCTCTAAGCCAGTCTGAGATACAGTGAGATCCTGTCTCAAAAGCAAACAAGCCAAGTTGTATAGAAGAATCTCAATCAGAGGAACATGGAAGCAGGCAAGCAGCCTGGCAATGAATGCCACAATGGAATATTAGACTAAAGCAACTGAAAAAAAAGAAAATCACCCCATAAACGGTAAGGAAGCCAATGTAAGAGCCCCACTCAAAATGTGTAACATCTCCAAATAACTGAGGGATAAGACAGAACAAGTCTTCACTATAACCTGTAATTAGATTTTCTTTCTCCAAACCAATCCTTCATGTGTCAAAATATTGACAAACAGCACAGTGCTTACCACTGGCACCTATAACTCCTTCAGAGACAATACTCGTCTATTCTCACCAGAATAAAATAAGTCTTAAATTCACTGGTACGTGGAATCTGGGAGGCTCTTAAAAGTGCCATGAAGGAACTTTAGCTCTGATAAGCCCATTAACAAGGCTGTCTCGGGGGGCAGAGGGCCAGACTGGGTGCAGGCCAAAGGCTGGGGCCTCTCTGTTGGCCCACACTCCCAGGAGAGAAAAATCCTCTGGGCGGTCCCCGGCCGGCAGAGACATAGAAATGAGGGTTGTCACACAGGCTGGGTGGGGAGGCAGACTCTGCCACGGAGCCCCCCCACTCCAAAATGTGTACCAGGGTCACGGTTGATCTCCGTGGATCTAGGTGGCCTGGTAATGGCTAGGGCAAGGGGTCGATGGCCAGAGGGTTAGGGAGAGGGAGAGGGGATAAGTGGGAACGGGAGGGGAGAAGGAGGGAGAGACTGAGATTGATTGATAAGGGTGCGCACCAGAGAAACATGAGCGCACAGAGAAAAAGAAACCCAGGAACCCTGAGGAGCCAGAGTGGCCCGCGACAGCGACAGTCTTCAAAGGAGTCCTCCGAGGGAAAGGCTCAGCAGAGGACAGGAACCCGAGAAACAGCGGTGGCAGAAGGGAGGGAAAAGGGAAGTGGGGTGGGAGTAAAGTGAAATGGTGGAGAATAAAAAAGACGTCTCCGCGGGTCCGCCCCAGCCAACCCCCCGCCACATCCCCCGGCCGCCAGCGGTCAGGGCATCCGTCACCCCTGTCCAGCACCTTAGGGGTTCGGCTCCTACCAACTCGAGGCCGCCCACTCTGCCACCCACAGCTCCGGGCCGGCATCGCGCCCCGGAGCCACCTGTTAGGTACGCGCGCCGTCGGAAGCCCGGGCCCGGGGCGCTGTGTGGCCGAGGCGCCAGAAATCTTCCAGAAGTTATGGCCCGAGAGCAGACGGCGTGCGAGGCCTCTGAGGGAGCGCTCAGGCCCCAGTCCCGCCCCCACAGGCCCCAGACCCGGTTCTCAACGCGGTCCCCAGCCACGCCCGCCCCCACAGGCCCCCGGCCCCGTCCTCACCGCGGTCCCCAGCCCCGCCCGCCCCCACAGGTCCCGGGCCCCCGTCCTCCCCGCGGTCCCCAGCCCCGCCCGCCCCCACAGGTCCCGGGCCCCCGTCCTCCCCGCGGTCCCCAGCCCCGCCCGCCCCCACAGGCCCCGGGACCCTGTCCCCAGACCGGCCCGCCCCCACGCCGTGCGGGGCGGGAAAGTTGGGCCCAGAGTTGGTACCTGCGCTGAGCTCCAGGCAAGCGCCGTCGCTACCCGCGCCGCTGCTGCCTGCGCCGGCCGCCGGGCCCGGGCCGTACCTGACGACGGCGGCGAAGGACGACGACGACGAGGCGGCGGGGGAGGCGGGCGGTGGGGCGGGAGTCCTCAGGTGGCTGGGGGGCGCGGCGGGCGTGCAGGACGGCGACGACGACGAGGCGGCGGCGGCGGCGGTAACCCGGCCGGCCGCAGGCGGGTAGGAAGTCTGCGTCGGGAACGGCGGCGGCTCGCTGCTGCTGATAGACACGGCGGCGAGCGGCGCGAAGGGCGGCGGGGGCGGCGGCAGAGGCGACGGCCGCACGGCAGGCAGCTCCAGCAGGGTGGGTCTCTCGTAGCGCTTGGCCAGCGGCCGCTTGCTGGGAAACGTCTTGAGGACGCTGTAGGGGCTGCGCTGCTTGTAGATTTTGGGCAAGCTGGGCCCCTCCTCCGCCGGCTGCATCTGATCCTCCATACCGCGCCTGCGGCCCGGGGACCCGGGGCGCGTGCCCTCCGCGGCCGGCGCGGGGCTCTGAGGGTGGCTCTGCCGCCCTACCGCCCGCTCTGCCCCGCCGCGCGCCGGTGGGAAGGCGTGTGTCTGCGCCGTGGCCGCCGCCGCCGCCTGCCGCCGAGCCTGGCATCTCCGAGCCCCCGCGCGGGGGGCTGCCGCCCGAGCTTTGATTGACAGCCCGCCTCGCCAATGCCTGGAGGGAGAAAGGAGGTAAAGAGCAAGTGTTTAGGGTAATATCTGCTAATGATAATAGGGGCGGGGGCGGGGCCTGGCGCCGCTGTCTGCCCGCGCGCTCCGCGCCTCCGACGGGGTCGTGGGGGGAGGGGAGGCCCAGGGCCCTGGGGGAGGTGGGGGGAGCAGAGACCTGGAGGGCGTCCTGGTGGGAACAGGTGACAGAGCTGGGGTCCCGGGTCCCGGCCACTGCGAGAGTTGGGGACCTCGGCTGTGGGCAGCAGCGTCCGCCGGCTGGGTCCGAGCCTCGGAAGTGAGTTCCTGGCGCCCTTCTGCGTGACCTCCCAACTCTCGGAGTGCCTGGAGGGGGTGGTACCTAGAAGTTAGGGCGGGGTCGCGGGAGTGCAGGGGTGGTACAGTGAGTTCTTCCAGAAGGAAGCTGCGCTCCCCCCACCTGCTGGAAAGAACGTCTTGATGGGCTTGGCACGGGCTGCCGTGTGGTTTGTCTTGCCTTCGGGTCTTACTGTCCCAGGACTGGTAGCCTCTAAACTTAGGTGGAATGTAAAAGCGCGCTAGGCTTTGTGCTTGCATATTATTTGTTCTCCACAGGGGCTGGAAGAGAGTGAGCAAGCGACACCATCATTTCTCCCCATTCTACAGATTTGAAAACCGAGGCCCTGAAAGGCTAAAGGGTATTACCTAAACGCAGACACTGGGGAACTTGTGAGTTGCATGGATAAGTGCAGGTCTTTTGAATTCAAAATAGCTGGGAGACTAGACTGTACAGTTATGGGGCCAAAATAACCCCACACCTCCCCTCTGGGATGGTGACTCCTTTGAACAGTGTTATTTTTTAATGCATGTACTTGCAAAACCAAGGTAGCCTGGGAGCCAACTCCCTGCATTGTCCATACTCCCTGTAGCTGGTGCCCCCAGGGATCTGGGGAGCAAAGAGCTTTGTGCTTTCAGGAGGATCCCTATAAGGTAGGGATCCCTGCAGCCACACTGCAGCAGAGTCCACTCTCCCTATCTCAAATGAAGCGCCTTTCCTTTTGGCCTGTTCCTGTAGCACCCGCTCCCTCCCAGGCTTGGGTTCCAGCCTTGACTCTTCCTAGGCCCTTGATGTATGACCCTCATTTCTCCACTCTGAAGTTCCTTTCCTTTCCAGAGCTTTCCGTCTTTGGGAAAGTGATCCATTTTCTTCCGGGGTTCGGATCTTTGTCCTCTCATTTCCCAGATCTCCCTTTGGAAGAGTTCTGTCTTGCTGGTTCAGTGTCTGTGTTCCTGCACCCCGGATGGTCTCCCTCTCCTTTGCAGGCTCCTCAGATGGTGCTGCGCCCCCCCCCACCATTTATTAGAGATGAAATAAATAATGCCATAAATAAAAGTATTTGGGAGTCCAGGAACTGTCAGGGCTGATTAGGGCATAGAGGACATTTTCTTTCTCATTATGCAAAAGCATTTCATGGGGAAATAAAAGAGGTTTCATTGTAACTCATGCATGTCATATTTCAAGGAATTCAAGATATTAATCATATTTAACATTATTTGCAACGTTTCTTCTCCCTGGCTTCTGAAAACTGCTAAATGAGGACACGTGGATCACCAGGAAAAAAGGGAGATGAGCGTGAGGGGGACAGTTAAGAAATAATGAAATGCTGGTGAAAGACAGAGAATGAGATGCCAGGGAGATGTTTCTTCGGCGCGTAAGTGAGGAACGGGGGAGTGCCTTCTGAGATGTGAGACAGCTGAAATTGAATGATATACTGGAGGAAATAAATGATAACAAGCCTCCCCATACTTGGCTTTCTACAGAGCAGTTTTGCATTTTGCGTTGAAATCTTTCCCTCCTACTTTACTCCCTGATAATTTGCCAGTAATTCCTGGCTTTTCAAAAGAAATTAGGGTGGGGGTAGTGACAGGTCCTAGAGGGCAGAAATCCTAAAGGCCTTCTGCTTGAAAAATGATTTCCTCTATTGGGGGCGCTTCCTTTCTGTGTAGGTGTTTTTAAACTTACGTCATTCGCCTCACTTAAACACCTTGAGAGACAGGGAACAATACTTCTGTTTTTATATTTTACCAACCAAAGGGACCGCCTATCGTTTGTATTCTGAAGTGACCATTTCTATAAAAGCAAGTGCTCAAATGAGTGCTTGCTGTGGTTGGGGTCTTCTCCAGAAGTGTGTGTTGGAAACTTAGGCCTCAGTACAATAGTACTGGGAGGTGGGGGCCTAAGGACAGGCATTTAGGACTTGAGGGCCTTGTCCAGAGGCAGGATTCGTTGCCTGTTACTAAAGAGCATGGGATTGGGAGCCTGAGCTCCTGGCAGTCTTGTGCCTGATGCTCTCTGCCATGTTATCATGCAGGATGCAACAGGAAGGCGCTGATCAGAAGTTGCTGCCTCCACCCACCCACCAGCCTTGGGCTTCCCAGCCTCCAGAATGACAAAAAAACAAAAAAAATCTCCATTGTAAATTTCCTAGCCCATGGTATTCTGTTGTGGCTGCACAAAACAGACCTTCCACAGGTAATGAGACGTGGGATTGTTGCTCCAACAGTTTCTTTAAGTGTGGAAATGCCTTTAGAACTAGGTAGAGAGTGGAAAAATGGGGGGTGGGGAATAAAGTTGAAAAGCCTAGATTGTTTAACAGGAATGAGGTAGTAAGGGTAACTGGTGAGGACTCAGCAGAGGAGAGCTGTAGGGAAAGTGTGGTTTCTTACAGATTAGCTAAGCAGTTTTGATTAACGCTGATAAAAACGTAGATTATAATAGTGGGGTTTGATGGTCCACACTTGTAATCCCAGGACTAGTCTCTAATCTAGCACTTGGGAAGCAGAATTAAGAAACTTGACTTATAATAGATAGAGAGACCCTGTCACTGAAAAATTAAAAAATAAAATAAATTTAAGAATGAAAGAGAAGGAAGGCAAAGCGGATGGTAAAGGCCACTCCGATGGAAATGAGGATTCAGGTGTTGGAAGCTGGAGTAAAGGCCATCCTTGTTCTGCTGGTTTAGGAGTGTGTAGAAGGCAGAATTTAAGAGCAATGGAGTAGACATCTGGCAGAATGAACATCTTAGCCGTAGCAGAGCCTTCAGAGTGCTGCACGGCTTCTTTTGGCTGTTTACAATAAGATGAGACATGAGAGAAATGATTTAAAGATGGAATTTATAAATAAAGGAGAAGCAGAGCAGAAAGATGTGGAAATTTGCAGCCTGGCGTAGTAAGAGTGAAAAAGCATGCTCAGGAGAGACTATTAAGTGTCACCAAGTGACCCTTTGCTCAAGAGCTTGTTCAGGTTCTGTTGCTCTGGTTCTATTCATCAGGACAATAGAGGGTGCCCTGGCCGCATTTCCGAGATCTTTGAATCAAGCTAGGAGTTTGAAGGCAAGGTTCCTAAAGAGGTGTCTGGGAGACCCTCATCCTTTGCTGACAAGAGCCACTTTGGAACTCTGCTACTGTATTCTGGTGCGGCCCTCCTAGACTACCCCAGGTGTACCTCAGGCTGGCCCAGGTTAGCCCAGAAGGGCAGAAGTGGTAAGCTTTGGAAGTGCCTGTGTGTGTGCTGACTCAGTCCACAAGCTATGGGATCATAGCTAGTTTTCAAAGATGTGTTGGACAGCTTGGGAGTCCAGACAAAGACTTGTCAGAGGGGCAGTGCTACAACTAGAGAGCCCCAGGGAGGGCAATGCCTAGTGGAGACCTGGGAGTCAGGTCTGCTTAAAACCTTCGAGAACTGTAGAGCCACTAGTGCCCAATTCTGTATAGGCTGAGCCTAGCAAGTGCTGAGGAGTGGGTCACCAGATGTTTTGGGGGCCCAACCCCTTTAGAGCCTCCAGGGGGTGGCATGTTGAGGGAGAGATTATTCTAGGGCCTTTTTTTTTTTTTTTTTTGAGACAGGGTTTCTTGTAGTTCCGGCTGGCCTGGAACTCACTATATAGACCAGGCTGGCCTTGAACTCACAGAGATCTGCCTGCCTCTGCCTCACGAGTGCACCACCACTCCTGGCAGTGAGATTATTCTAGAGGTTTAATGTTCACCCTGTTGGGATTGGATTTACCAAATGTCCATCCAACCACTGTATTTGTTGTTTTAGGAGAGGCTCTCACTATGTAGCTGGCTCAGAAGTCACTATGTAGCTCAGGCTGGCCTCAAACTCAAGGTGATCCTCCTTCCTCAGCCTCCCTAGTGCTGGGATTACCAAATTCTGGGATTGCAGACATGAGCTGCAATGCCTGGCCCACAGTTGTGTTAGACGTAAATAATGTGTTTGAGTTCTGTGATTACCAGCTGGAGAGGAGTTAGCTGCAGGATGAATTGTTTTACCTCAAGCCTCACATGTGCCTGATTTGGAGTCCCCTCTCAGACTTCGGATTTTTAAGTTGGCAATGGAATGAATTGAGACTTTGGGGGCTTTGGGGATGGAAAAATGTAATTTATATGTGAGAATGGCATGTATTTGAGAGGACAGGGCAGAATGCTATGGTTTGAATATCCAAAGCATGTGTTGGAAATAATCCCCAATATGACAGTGTTGGAAGACGGCGTGGTGGGAGGTGGTTAGCTCCTCAGGGCTCTGCCCCACAAGTGTATGAATGTTAAGTATAAAGGGATTGAATTTGTGAGCTCATCTATTTCTTTCCCTCATCCACATGATGCTTTCTGCCATGTAATGACAGAGGACCAACGCCCTCACCAACGTGACCTCACAGTCTTACCCTTCCCAGTCTTCGGAACTATGAGTTTCCAGTGTTTCTAAATCACCTAGTCTCTACACATCCATTATATATAGCAGCATAAAAATGAACTAAGACAGTGACTTAGCTTTCCTTTTTAAATAGGGCTTCCAGAGGAAAAATGCTAGAAATTTAAAGA